CATCCGTATTCCTCACATTTAGAGTTTTCATAGCATTTTCATTTCTCTTTAAAAACATCCCTGCTCTCTCTCTCTCTCTCTCTCTCTCTCTCTCTCTCTCTTTCTCTCTCTCTTTCTCTCTCTCTCTCTCTCTCTCTCTCTCTCCTCTCTCTCTCCCTCCTCTACCTTTCTCTCTCTCTGTCATTCTCCATTCTCCATCTGCTTTGATGTTAACTGAAACTGCCTGTCTCTGTGCGCGTGCAGAAGACCGGGGTTAAACGCTTGTACCCAGACTGCTGAAAGAGAGCTAAGCCAATCGCAAAGCGAGGCTTCAGTGCTGAGTAGAAACAAAAAAGCACTTTCAAAAAACTCCCACTTGTATTTGCTGTTTGATGTTAATATCAGAATTTTGTTTTTATTTTTACTATGTTTACTTCTCAACCCAAAAGCTAACACACCACTTTACAAAGGCTCGAATGTTGGAGTTTTAGTATTGGCTAGAAAAGGATAAGTAGCCTAATTAGTTACAGTAGTCTTAAACAATAGCAGGTCTGTAACTATCAAACATTTTTACATTTCAAAAATCTGATTACTATTTTTTTGAATATTTTATTTTTTTTATTTGAATATTCTATAAGACTAAAAGCTTGAATTGTTTGAATTGTTATTTTTCTATTTGATAGACAGAGAGATATTTGATATTATTATCATTATTATTAGTAGTAGTAGTAGTAGTAGTAGTAGTAATAATGGTAGTTTGCCGTTTGTATGATAGAATTGAGGCACGTCTGTGCTAATGGAAGCACTGAACAGGTTACTGATGCTGTTTGAACGTGTCAGTGGTGAGCTACAGAGGAGAGCATAGAATATAAAAATTTTGGTAACACTCTCTATGAAGCCATGTTCATAAGCAATTATAAGTGCACTTATAACTCCATGTAAAACATGATAACAATGGGCCTCATCCACCAATCGTTCTTAAGAAGAAATTTCTTCTACCCAATGATGTAGTTTTCAGAAAAATTCCGACATTCCCCAGGGTTTTCCTAATTGGGATTTGTTCTAGTAAGAACAGAATCTACACAAACTCAAGAGCACAAAGTTGTGAACAATTCTGTGGTTTAAGACCACATCATGAATCTGACAGACTTTTCTTAGAACCTTTCTCAAGAACAAATATAAGAAAACAATTGAGGCCCATTGCTGTGTAAGAATTTTTATAAACTGTAATTATGCTTTATAAGGCTTTAATAATGAAGTATAATAAATTGTTTGTTGACTTATTTGTAGTAACACATAGTAAGACAAGTGTAACTGTTCATTATAACGTTTTTTAAATGGATAATGACTTCTGCATAGTTATAAAGCAATTATAATACATATTAGTGATTATAAAAACAATATAAACATTTAAAATGCCACAACTGAAAGCTTGAACTAAAGTGATAGTTTGTTTGTCTTTGTTATAAATAAATTATGAGGTGCTATAAACTTTATTTCCAAAACTAAACCAATTACAAAAGATTACATCATCTAGAAGATGAAGAATATTTAAATCCTTCATTTCGTCAAGCTTGTAGTTTCAGCGTTGCTCCAAAACTGTTTTGCTGCATCTTGCGGCAACGCTGCTTGCTTATTTCTGGTATCGCGGTCTGTTCTGCACATGTGCAGACTGAGAAATCCGAAAGAATTACTGAGCTAAAATCCAGCCTCTTTATCAGATTTCTTAATCAGATTTCTAGACCTTACTCTGATCTAAGAAATCAGAGTATGCTGTTTACATGACCATTTGAATAATCAGATGATTGCAGAAATGCGATTTTGATCAGATAACTGAATGCATGTAAACGCACTTAATGACAAAACTCAGCTGGCTAATTTGCAAGCTTTCATTTCGGTTATCCGAAAGGCTTTCCCTTCGTTAAATATTTTAATCACTGAATTTATTGAATTTTATTTGTTGCAGTAATAAATGATGCAGGGTGGTAGTTGCATGTAAAGGTTTGTACATCCCTGGTCAAATGACACATTTTGTTGGTCTTTTACAGGGAACAAACATACTTAAATATGTAATTTTTCTGACAATTTTCTTCACTGTGTAATTTCTTTTTATTTGGAGAAGAAAACATAAAATATAAAATGTACCACATTATTTCCTAATATGTTAAATTCAGCAAATAAACATCATTTTACATTAAAATATGCAGAAATGCATACTCTGTAGAGGATGTGTTCACATATTTTGACTAAAAAACATTAATTTTAGGCTATTAAAGAATATATCAATTAAAGACAAAAAGCCTGAGACAGGGACAGAGTGACAGTGTGGCAAAACAGGAAGGCGGGGATGGGGGGGTTGAGATTGTTCCTTCCCATGGCCATGAAGTATAATTTATTCATTTTAATAACAATCATTTTATGAGATAATCCAATTGCATAATGAAGGGGAAGGTCAAAGGAAAATAAGTAAAAAATAGGAGTTTCCAAAACTGGCATTCAAAAATGAAAAATAAAAAATAATTTAAAACATAAATAAGCTGCTGATGTTCTCTGAACAATGGATTGACCTCCCCAGAGTCCAGACCCTAAACATCACTGAATGTGTTTTATTACTTGGATTTTGAGAACCAATAAATAAAATCAACTTCTAAGACTGAACTGTGATGGTGTGGAAAAATATCCCTGCAGATTTCTTAAAAACTGAAAGTGAGTCTCATGAAATGAATGGAAGCTGTAATAACGACAAGGATGAAAAATACTGAAAAATGTGATATTATATTTAGTTGAGGCTTCTGTGTAATTTTCTATTTAATGCATGTTTTGTGCTTTTTACCAAGGCTGAAAAAGGATGACTTAATTGACATTTTGAATTAAATAAATGAAAGGTAGTCTCTGAGTTTTACTCAGTAGTGTATACTGGCATTTCTTTTTTACTTCTGAAAGTGTATTACACCCCTACTCTCCACGCATTGCTTTCTCCCTTTCCTCACAACTGATCCTCTCTATCTGTTCCTCTGTTCTTTTACAGTCCCTGTTTGTTCTTTCATATTCTTTCCCTCTTTCTTCTGCCTTCTTACTCCCTTACTGTCCACACAGCTGCCTCTCCTCTCTCTTTCTCTCTCTAAATAATAGGGCTTGGTGGAGAGAGAGACTGAAGGAGGGCAGTGGTGTATGTATGTGTGTGTGTGTTGGCTTGTCCGTGCCGTGCCTTGCTGCTTTGCCCTGGCTGACTCTAATTGCCGGCGCTGTGGTGCCAGAGTCACCCGGGGAGCCAAGTGGAGCCGGCAGGGGAAAATTGAACAAGCGTCACCCGTCAGGAGTGTTTACTTTCACAGCCGCTGTCAGCCCGCTCCTGTTTATCCGCTCCACAATTACCAGCCGCCCCTGGGGAGCCCGCAGGACGAGGGGGCTCAGTGTCCCATAGCTCAGATTGTGGGTGTACAGATCAAGGGGGAGGGGCGATGATCAAAACTGTCTGTGGGTTGTTATGATGTAATATAACAGGGGCATGTGGCCCTACCAGCTACCTCAGAGAAAAGCTTGCAGGAGGGTCTGTCCAGAAGAGTGACCAGATTATTAGGAAATGTCATATTAATCTGAGACTAAAAGTCACAGTTAAGCAACACATTTGCAAGGATTTTGTTACGTTGATAAAGTAAAATTTGGACTGTAAGTTGAAAGTCAGAATATTTTGTGAAGTTTTTAAAGAATGTGCAGTGTAAGTATAAACATCTATGTCATGTCTATGTGTAAACTGTAAACTTTACAGTGGAGTTTGTATGGAACGTTTAACATAAGAGTAAAGTATTAGTTCATCTTTGCGTGTGCACAATCAGAAGGATGTGTAGAGTAACTGTAATGTAAAGTCTGTAAAGAGCGTATAGTGCAAGTGTAAAGTTCCAGGTCGTGTCCATTTGTACTCTCAGAATGGCATGTAGCGTAGCTGTAAAGCTGTCTGTGTAAACGGTAAGTTTAAGGTCATGTCTATGTGTGCATCAGAAAGACATGTAATGTTACTGTAAAGTTTAAGGTGCTTTCTGTGTAACTGTAAAGCTTTCTGTGTAAACATAAAGTTTACGGTCATGCCCACACGTGCATCAGAAGGACATATAGTTTTACTGTAAATTTTAAGGCTCTGTGTGTTGAGTTTGAAAGACATTCAGCATACGTATAAAGTTTTAAATCATGTTTGTGTGTCCACCATCAAAAGGAAGCATAGGGTACCTGTAAAGTTTAAGGTGCTGTCTGCATGTGAAGTCTGTAAAGAACTTGTAGTGTAAGTGTAATTTTTTTTTGTGCACTCCCAGAATGAGGTGTAGTGTACTGTAAACTTTGAGGCACTATTTATGTACACATTTTGTAAAGGTAGTGTAGATGACTTGTAGTGTAAGTGTAAAGTTCTAGGTTTACGTATGTGTGCACACTCAGAAGGACATGTACTGTAAAAACAATTTTCTTAGGATGTGTCTGTGTGTGCAATCTTACCATGCTTACCAGCTGTAAAGTTTCCATGTGTAAAGGGAGTGTAAAGTTTGCTGACTGTGATGTTAGTTTCTACAACTGGATGGTTGTGCAGGGTTCAGGGCTGTCGTCTCTGACCTGACCCCTGGCTCAGTGGGACAGTAGGTCAGAGGTGATGGGCAGCATGGCAGAATGCCCCTCATTCTCTCTCTCACACACACACACACACACACACACACACACACTTATACACACACACACAACGGGGCAACTCTGCCTGAATTAACACTAACACACACACATGGGATCCTCCAACTTCACTCACCCTACTTTCCAGGAGTGTCTCACCTACTATCTATCTGTCAGTCAAGCCACACTGACAAATTAATGGTAGGATCATGACATACAACTCACAGTCCCCATTCCTACCCATCCTACACTAGAACAAAAGTACACTCCTGGAAAGCTCATTCCATTCCCCTCTCTCTTTCTGCCTTGAGGACTGATGGAATGATGGGTTGAGGCTGAGAAGTGGATAGCTTGTGGGCCCTAACACTTACATTGCACATCTACCCGGATGGACTTGATGGCAGCCACCCCGACCCCATTCTCAGCCTTGCAGTAGTAGCGGCCACCCTGCACCCTCTGGATGTTGGTGATTCGCAGTGTCTCATTGAAGATGGGTGTGTCCTGGAACTTGTCTGATGCGCTGCCTGCTGTCTTAGTCCACCGCACCTGCAAGTGGAAAAAATAAAAGAGTCAAATTAATACTGAGCTGGTGCCACCAAACATATGGCGGTCTCACTGAATGGAAATGCACAGGTGTACAGTATTACCATCAAGCAATACTTGAGCTTATGCCAGTAATGACAAGAAAATATATGATGTTTATAAATGACACTGCTTTACATAAGTGGCCTTAAAGTTCCATTTCGCTGTTGTCGGAAGATCGGAAGAGAACCTTGTATCTCCAAAATGATAACTTTACAGGAGAATAAAAAACATACTTTACTTTTAACGCAAGTCAATAGAACCACAATTTTTCCCAGGTCATTTTATGACATTTCTTTTGGTCCATTCATCATGAAATTTACAACCAATGTAAAGGGCAACAGGCACTTTCAAATTATGTCAAAAACTGAAAAACAACAAGAATGGAGATATGAGGCATCATTCCCAAAAAATGGAATATATACAGAAGAGGTCTAGTTAAGAACATATTACTGATACTTTATCAGTACGCCATACAATGTCAGGTACCACATAAACAAGTCTAATTGAGATTCCTTAACAACTCAACATGATCCAAGTCCAAGTTGTGATCACTTAGCCATGCAGTTTACACAGTGCTAAACTGGTGGCTGTAAGCATTACTGACTGTAGTAACCTCATACTTCCAGTGCCAAACTAAAGAAGTACAGAAGCAACCTTTGGCAACTAAATGTTGTGGCTGATCAGCTACATTTGGAGATGAAAACTGTGTAAATGTGATTTTTGGCCAAAGCATCACTTTGAGATTGTGTCAAGTGTGTGGTTCAGGCCAAAGTTGAGTCTACGTTACATGATTTTTTTCCCAGTTTTAACCCCGATAAGCCCCTTGCGACAAATTTTCACAATCTAAAGCAATTTTCCAGGTCAGGAGCTTGATCGGAAGCAACCGACGGCACAGATGATCTGGTAGATCTGGAGGACAAACGAGTGAATCGTTAGCCTTCTGATAGAATTTTGAAGTGAGTGGAGACCCTTCAGTATTATCAAACGTTTGATATTTACGACTCAAAATGTTCACGAGTCCTGTTGTGTGAGAAGGTCAGAGATTTACTCAATGAGTTAATCAAACAACAGCCAAACAGAGAGCTAGAAGAGTGGAGAAACAGGCGAAGAGACGTGCATCCACACCGCCTGAACAGCGGAGTGCAGAGACAGAGAAGCTGCGTGTAAAACACAGGCAAATAAGAGTCGATATCATGTTTATAATGTTTGAATCCAGAGGTCAAATCACGCTCCCTACATATTCAAGACAGCTGCTAGTTAGTAGTGAAATATTTATCCAACTCGTACTGTTATATCAGTGCTTCTCAACCCCATTTTAATCCTCAGTTTGCGCTTTCGCTCTGCATAAGAGCACAAACAGGTCCGGTCCAGTAAGTTTAGCTTTGTTTGTGTCTCTGAGGAGATCTAGGATTTTGAGTTTTTATTCGTAGCTAAAACTCATTATGTGTGTTACACTCTCTCTTTGCCTTGTCGTCTGGTGTGAGCTCCCACATGATAAAAAGACAAGAAATTCTGTGACAAACTGACATTAAGTTTCTGATGCTCTCCGTTTTAGAAATCGTTTTAGGAAAAGTTTTAGAAAAAGGATTTTAAAAGGCGTATAGTGTACGCCCAGCCTAAGACAAACCCTAAGATCCAACGTACAGTCAAGGGTACAGTCACCTTAACATAACCACCAGGACGACTTGAAAGTAATCGATTTAGCCTCTATCCAGTCTAACCTTCTAGGTTCATTGTGAGATGTCACATTCCCTCTGATGCATTAAATCTCTTCAGAACTATTGTTTTAGTCACATCTTTAACTACATAAAAGTGCAGCAAACAGCACAAAAGAAAAGCCTTTGTAATCTCCCCCGACCTCTAGCCATGATTAAAGCTCCCCCTGTTACAGCCAGGGTCACCCCTGAAAGAGAGGCGCACGGGCGCACATGCAGCTTTTGGAGTTTGGCAGGGCTGGGATAGCGGGAAGGTTAGGACGTACACGCATAGGATTATGGGATTAGATAACCTGTACAAACGAGAGGCTTTGTGTTTATTCAGGCTTGTTTGCTCGAGGATTTGGGACACAGCTGTTCTCCATTGATCAGATAGAGAAGGTGAGAAATTAACAGAGAGAACGCGAGAGAGAGCAAGCGAGCGAGGAAGCGAGTGAGAGAGAGAGAGAGAGAGAGAGAGAGAGAGAGAACACCCACTGTGGAGAGAAAGTTTAGTTAAAAAGGGCTGCACGCTAGGAGATGCCATTGCTTTCACGGGCAAATTTTTCAAAGGACAGAAAAAGTGCAGTGTTGCAGAAAAAGGGCACAAACAGTGGCACATACTTTGTTTGAACTGGGGAAAAAAAAGTTATTTGAGGAAACCAGTCAGACGTCCTCAGCTTTGTGAGACATTCTTCATTAGATATTGTTGACAAATGCGCTACATCAGCTGGAGTGGAGCGTGATGATAACAGATACTTACAATCATCCTCTAATCAATCTTTCCAAACTATCCTCCAGGTTGCCTTCATTGTCTGCGCCGTGGTTTGTTGTGACGGTGACAGAGTATGCCCATTTTGTTTTGGATACCTTGCAGAAGGCTAGACTACTGTTCATCATCCTGTTGATTCGTCAGGACGGTTAGCGCCAGCGGTAGCCGATATCAGACAGATGGCTGTGGATAGGCTATCATTAAAGCGTATAGCTAGAAGCCAGCGCTAGCCAAGAAATGAGAAGTCACAGCACTGTGAGGGGCTGCATAGGTCCCTGTGCAGCAGCGTCTAAGGCAGAAGAAAATGAGAAGAGAGAGGAAGACTGATGTGGGAAGACAGAAAGAGACAGTGGCGCTAGAGAGAACAGGCTGAAACAGATGACGAGATGAGAAAACGCTGTCCTTCCTGACATCGGCTTCTGCTGTACATCACGCCGTTTCTATGCCTTCCTCGTTTTCCTAGAGATCCCGAAAGACAACGCGTCCTCTCCTCTCTCATCCTCCCTTTGCCGCCTCCTCACACTCGGGACAGAATCCTCTCGTCTCGAGCTGGCTCTATCCAACTCATCTTCTCATTTTCCATCATCTGTCAGCATCACAGATGCAAACAAATAGGCCGGCATGGGAACGGCAGCGAGTTTTACGCTAGGCTCACAGGTGCTGCCATGCTCCCAAAGAATGACTCAAAACCTCTCAAAGATCAAATCTATGCTAAACACCTCGATCTGTAGTCATTTGCAGTAGTCATTGTTGTAGCTCTTGTGAATTTTACCATGACCGGTTACATGGTGATAGTATCCACCAGTGGATCAACTTTACAGCAGGGTAAATTAGCCAAGAGTGGGATGTTCTCTTGCTTGTAGATCTTATCATTTAAATGGTACTGACTCAAGATGGTATTTGCTGCTTATTATCTGTTTGACATGGATCACTGCCAGTGCAAGCAGTAATCTAGTCATCATTTATCTAGACATCAGTAATTTAGTCATCATTACTAAATATGAGGGTGTTTTCACACCTAGTTCTTTTTGAGTCATTTTTGCCAAACCTGATCTATGCCCCTCTTAAAGTTGATTCATTTGCCAAGCTTAAAATCTGCACTCAAACTGAAGTGTATAAAAACTGCGGACGTGGCTGGTTTCCAGCCAAACTTTGGTGCAAGTCTTCAGTATATGTGTGTTTTGGATTTGGTTGAGTTGGATTTGTCTGCTGTTGGTACAGTAGGCTCTGAATTTACTTTGTCTTAGACTCTGTTAGTCTCAAGGCTGTCTTGCTGAACCTCATGCTTAGTTACAATTAGTAGATTCAGGTGTGAATTTTAGAGGCAGGGCCAGCAGCTACAAGGCTGATAATTTGAGAAGGTATTCACTACATAAATCAGTGTGCTTGTCTTTTCTGACAGAGAATTGTCTTCTGCTTGGTAAAGTGAGCTCTGAGTTTTATTTTGCAGCTGTTCGCCGTATTTGCATTTCTGAAAGCCTTGCTGAGCTGCTGATGCTAAATAGAGGCATTTTTGACTTTGCATTTGCAACCACTGAAAGAACAGGACCTCAGTAATTAGGGCAGCAACAACAAATTTGTTGCATTGATAACGGTGATAATAAAAACAGCTGGCAATGAATCTTTATCCATTAGTTAGCCTGACAATGCTTACACGTCCCACCTAACATTACTTCATTAAAGGAAAACCTAGGTAGCAGAGGCTGCAGTGCATGGTCGTATACGGCCCAAAAAGACACAAATATGGCAACATTTCACTTTAATATCATCTAAAAACAGTGGTTCCTGTAAGATGTGTAATAGCAAGCTTACCTGGCATTAGAGCATGACTGTTATGAATGAGCAGAAAACACATCCAGGACAGAAACTTCAGCACACTGAATAACTAAGATAGTAAAACACAGTTGTCCATGGTAAAAAAAAAACTGTCACTGCCTGCTTTCTGCTAGCTATGTCTGAATTTAGTAAACAGAAAAATAAACAACGCTGGCTGAAGAAATGAATTACATTTTTTTAAATCATTTGTTGGAACTGCACAGCTAAACTACACCTTTTCATTAGTACAGTCAAGTTTTAGGTCATGGAAAACAGCATTTTAGGTAACAGAAAACTAAGCTTTTGAAAATGTTCTTCATGGTGGAGGTTTTCTGTTTCTTGATCATGTAATATGATTATTGATTATTATGTTACCAACATTGCAGCTAATAGAGCTTTAGAGAAAAATAATTTGATCCTTCATTGATTTCACAATTTTTAACTGATTAAAACAGTGTTTTCAATAGCAACACATAAGATCTTTTGCTATGCCCTTTAGGCAAATATGATATATAAGGTAAGGATTTATGTTTGAAAGAGCATTGTGCAGCAGAAGACCTGTATTTTTCTTTTTTTTTATTATATGCTGTCTATAACATTAAATATTGAATGTTAATTATTGACAAACTAATAACGACACTTGTTTTTTTTTCCAATGAATCCATGAATCTTATAGAAAT